TTTCCACTTGCCACTCTTCCTCTTCCCCTTCTGGTACCCCTATAATTCATATGTTGGAATGTTTAAAGTTGTTCTGGAGGTTCTGAAGCCTCTCCTCATTTTCTTGAATTCTTGTATCTTCCTTCTTTTCTGTTTGGTTGTTTCTTTGTTCCTTCTGGTCCACTCCATTGATTTGAGTTCCCAGTTTTCTTCCCATCACTATTGGTTCCCTGTGCATTTTTCTTCATTTCACTTAGCATAGCCTTCATTTTTTCATCTAATTTGCATCCAAATTCAACCAATTCTGTGATCATCCTGATCACCAGTGCTTTGAACTGTGCATCTGATAGGTTAGCTATCTCTTTGTCCCTTAGTTATATTTGCTGTGGAGCTTTGATCTATTCTTTCATTTGGGCCATTTTTTTTTGTCCTGTCACACCTGTTACATAGTGAGGGGCGGAGCTCTAGGTGTTCACCAGGGCAAGGTAACCCATTTTCTGGGTTGTGATGCTGTATGTGGGGGCAGGGTCCAAGAGGGAACAATGGTGCTTGCTCCACTGTCTGTTGGATCAGTCCCTTCTGCCACTTCCCCCAAGCAAACTGGGCCTTTCTGGTGCTGATTCCTGTGTGGGTGGGCTTGTATACATTCTAGGACCCTGTGGGTCTCTCCAACAAACTCTCCTGTGAGTCTGGGATTCTCTCCCGGCACCTCAACTCCCACAAGTGTTTTCAATCAGTGTTTTGAGGCTTTATTTCCTGTCACTGGGACCCTGGGTTGCACAGTCTGTCTTGCTCCCCAATTTTGCCTGGTTTATCTGTGCATAAATGTGAGACCACACAGTCAGCCAGCCACTTTGCGTGCAGTGCCTGGCTTTACAATCACCACCTTGCTGTGTCTGCTCATTGTCACCCTGCGCCCAGGGTCTGCCAGTCGCCACCTGTGTGCCCAGGGTCTGCCTGCTGCCATCTTGCATGCCCGGGGTACCCCGCATGCCTGGTGCCATTGCTTTTTGTATCAAAACCCTTCTCCACCTGGCTGCCCAGCTCTGCTCTGCCCACCGGTCTGGTTGAACATGTCTAATTTATCTCCTTGGTTATCCGACTTCCATATAGTTCAATTTTGTCAGAACTGGTTGTTTTTTTGTTTCTAAATTGTTTTGTGTGAGAAGGCACAGTTTGTCTACCTACGCCTCCATCTTGGCCGGATGTCTTTCCTATTGATTTTTAAGATTACTTTGCATAGTTTCACCTGGCACAGTCTTGCACAATCAGGCAAAACAAGGGCTGTCTATATTTCTTATTCCTCATTAACAAGTTAATAGAAGTGTCTGACACAGTGTTTGCCATCGTAAGTGCTCAGTAAATGTCATCTGTTATTTAAAACACATTATGTGCTGTTTTTCGCCTTAAATACAAAGTATTTTCTTTCTAATGTCTCCATTTTCTGCTACTTCTCTGCTGCCATTCTCTTTCAAAACCATTCCAATCAGACATTTGTTCACAACCCTTCACCAAAACTGCTCTTGTCACAGTAACTAATTTCACAGAACTAGAACAAATAATCCAAAAATTTATGTGGAACTACAAAAAAACCTGAAGAGCCTCAGCAATATTGGCAAAAACAAAGTTGAAGATATAACACTACCTCATATCAAACTATACTACAAAGCCATAATAATGAAATCAGCATGGTGCTGGCATAAGAACAGACACACAGATCAATAGAACAGAATAGACAGCCCAGAAATAAACCCACCTCTCTATGATCAATTAATATTTGACAAAGGAGGCAAGAATATACAATGGGGTAAAGACTATTCAATAAATATCACTGGGGAAATTGGAAACATACATGTAAAAAATGACACTAGACCACCTTGATTATACCATATACAAGAATAAACTGAAAATGGATAAAAGACTTAAATGTAAGATTCAATACCATACAAATCCTAAAAGAAAACATACACAGTAAAACCCAACATTTGATTTAGTAATATTTTTTTTCTGCTGTATCTCCTCAGACAAGGGAAACAAAAGAAAAATAAACAAATGAGATAACAAACTAAAAAGTTTTTGCAGAGCAAAGGAAATCATCAACAAAAATAAAAAGACAATCTACTAAATGAGAGAACATATTCACCAGTGATATACCTCATAAGGGGTTAATATCCAGAATTTATAGAGAATCATATACTCAACACCAAAAAACCCCCATACAATCCAATTAAAAATGGGCAGAGGACCTGAAAAGACATTTCTCCAAAGAGGACATACAGATAGCCAATAGATATATGAAAAAACATTTAATATCACTAATCATCAGAGAAATGCAAATTAAAACCACAATGAGATACCACCTCACACCTGTTAGAATGGTTGTCATCAATGAATCCATAAATGACAAGCGTTGGCAAGGATGTGAAAAAAAAAAAAGGAAAACCTGAACACTGTTGGTGGGAATGCAGATTAGTGTAGCCACCGTGGAAAACAGTATGGAGTTTCTTCAGAAAATGAAAAATGGATCTACCTGAAGAGCCAGTTATTTCATGTCTGGAGATTTATCAACCACACCCCCACACACAAAACAGTAATTTAAAAGAATATATACACCCCCTCTGTCCATTGCAGCATTATGTATAATAGCTAAGCTATGGAAGCAACCCAAGTACCCAGCAACAGACAAGTGGATGAAAAAGCTGTGGTACATAAGAAGTCTGTCCAGAAAGTATACAGCCAAATACTATGAAAAAATATGTAGACATTTATTGAAGAAGATACAAGAAACATTGTACACAGGACAATGATGCCTCAGTCCCCTTCAAAGTAAGCATCTTGGGACCTCACACAGTTCTCCCAACCTCTCCTTCACTGTTCAAAACACTCTGCAAAATTTGTTGTTGGATTAGCCATCAGCTGCCCTGTCATATTTTCCTGAATCTCATCAATGACTTGAAATCTCTTCCCTTTCAAAGGTTATTTTAGTTTTGGGAAAAGCCAGAAGTTGTAGGGCACCAAATCTTGGCTTTAGTGGGGCTGAGTCACCTGGGTGATTTGATGTTTCACCAAAAAACTGCATAAGACATGATGCATGAGCAGGCATATTGTTGTGATGAACCTGCCAATCACCAGTTGCCCATAGCTACGAACTTCTGAATCATATGAATAGCTTCCATAGAAGAATATTCAAGCTTAATGCAAAATTTGATGGAGATGCATTGCTCTACTCTCTGTCATTTTGAATGTGATAGCCACACAGTACACATGCTCACTCAGCAGTGTCTACGCCCCCACTAACTTGTACAATGAAGTCGTCACTGTTCACACATGTACATTCCAGTCCACTCTCCCTGGCTACCAGGTTACACCAATGTTGCGCAAACCATTCCTGTTATATTAACAGTGGCTGGACTTTTTCTGGACAGGTCTCATATATACAATGGAATATTACTCAGCCATAAAAATATGAAATCTTACCATTTGCAACAGCACGGAAGGACCCAGAGTGTATTATGCTAAGTGAAATAAGTCAAAGAAAAACAAGTACCATATGATTTTATGGATATGTGGAACCTTAACAAACAAATTTGAAACAGACTCACAGAGAAAGAACCGATGGTTGCCAGAAGGGAGGGCTCTGGGGACTGGGTGAAAAAGGTGAAGAAATTAAGAAGTACTAATTGGTAATTACGAAATAGTCATGAGATGTTAAGTACAGCATAGAAAATATAATAAAAAATATTGTAATAACTATGTATGGTGTTAAATGGGTGCTTGATTTATTGGGGTGATAACTTAGTAAGTTATGTAATTAATGGTCAATCACTGAGTTAAACATCAAAAACTAATATAATGTCAACTCTAATTAAAAAATAAAACATTTTTTATTTTTTGTCAACTCTAATTAAAAATTAAAACAGTTTTTAAAAGTCACTAATCACTGCTGAATGGTTAAGTCCAATGATAGCTGTAACTCTAAATATACTTGGCAGCAGCATTTAATTCAGTTAATCACAAATGACTTGGCTTCTAAACACACCACACTGTCCTGGTCTCCACTTACCCTCCAGGCCAACCCTTTTCAATTTCCTATGCTAGTTACTGCTCTGTTTTTCTCACATCCAAATGTTTGAGTGCCCCAGGGCAAAGGTTTCTCTTCTATTTTTATAACATTTTATATAACTCATGAAACAGTGCTTGTATAAAAATCCACACAAAGTTGCTAGAGAGTGCACAATTTCCAAAAATGTCCTGAGTTTTTGTTACATTCAGTTTTGTAAGGATGCACTCAAATTAATGGTAAAATGTACACATTATGTGGTATTTCACTATCTTTGGTAAAACTATGCTTATTATTTTGTCCCCTCAGAGTATACATAATGCTCCAATATCCACTTTGCGCAGGGTCTGCTATCACAAGGATGTCAGGGAAAAAACATTAAGGCTGGAACTACCTGAGGCAAGTGTTTCCAAATGGTGACAGCAACCCCTTGGCCTCCTCCCCCACTTCATATCATCTATCTGCACAGGCAGGGAGAAAGCCTAGTGACCTCCAATCAGAGGTCTTGAAACACTCCCCTCTCAATCAGGCAATATTTTGGGAAAAGGTGGAAACTGAGGCCATCTCTACAGGAACCCAAGTGGCCATACTGTGTGGTATGGTCAGGCCAGTGATTCTTCCTACTTAAACAGTTAATCCATTCATCACTACACAGATCCCACTGGTTGATTGATGTGATATCCCTCCCCCAACTTAAAGAAAAGAAGGTTCAGTGCTGATGCTGACTGGGAGGGGCACATGAATGCCCATGACACAAGACACAGCTTTATTCCCAGGGCAAAATTTTTAGGTATCTTCTCAACTCCCCCTCTACCTGCCTCCCTCTCACTTCATCATTATCTCTCACACACACAAAACCTATATTAAAACCATTGATATTCTGTCAATCTGGACAGAATGACAATCTAGTCATTAAAATTATCCACATTTTAGAGAAGAGGAAACTGAGTCACAGAGAAGTTATATACTTGTCCAGAGTCAGATGATTTATTAGTGGCAAAATTAAATGTATACAACGGTAGGCTACCTTTAGAGTTTGGAAATGGCAAATTTCCTCAATTCTGGTCATCAAGGTTCCAAAGAAATTGAGATATTAAGAATGTTTCTGATAAATACAAAAAACAAACAATTGCTAATAGTTTCTTCCAAGTAGACAATCCATATGTAAATGCAAAACATAGCTTTTTAACCCAAAGCAGTCTGTAATGGAATTAAGCATTTGGTTTTATAATAATCTTGAGCTTGTATATGTAATTTTTTTAATTGGTGTACTTATGAAAATAAAATATAATAATTAAAAATTAAAATAATTTAATCCTGGCCAGGTAGATTAGTCTGTTAGAGCATTGTGCCAATACACCAAGGTTTTGGATTTGATCCCCAGCAAGGGCACATACAAGAATTGACCAATGAATGTACAAATAAGGAGAACAACAAATTGATGTTTCTCTCTCTCTCAAATCAATAAATAGAAAAAAATTTTAAAGAATAAACTTAAAATTGCCTAAGGACTTAAACATTAGACTCAAAACCATAAAAATCCTGGAAAAAAACATAGGCAGTAAAATCTTGGAAATTTCTTACAGCAATATTTTTTCTGATATATCTCCTCAGGCAAGGGAAACAAAAGATAAAATGAACAAATAGGACTACATCAAACTAAAAAGTTTTTGCACAGCAAAGGAAACCATCAACAACATAAAAAGACAACCCACTGAACGGGAGAACATATTTGCCAATGATATATCTGATAAGGGGCTAATATCCAATACAACTCGCTGTAGCCAACATGGCTAGGTGGTTGAAGCATCATCCCGTAACTGAAAGGCTGCTGGTTTGATCCCTGGTCGACGCATATGCCCAGATTGTAGGCTTGATCCCCCGTTGGGGTGTATGCAGAAGGCAGCTGATTGGTGTTTCTCTCTCACATCCATGTTTCTCTCTCTCTCCCTTCTGTTCTCTCTTGAATGAGAATAAAATAACTTTTAGCAAAACAACAACAAAAAGAACTTGAACAACTCAACACACAAAAACATCCAATTAAAAAATGGGTAAAGAATCTGAATAGCCACTCCTCCAAACAGGATATACAGATGGCCAATAGACATATGAAAAGATGCTCAATGTCACTAATCACCAGAGAAATGCAACTTAAAACTACAATGAGATACCACCTCATACTTGTCAGAATGGCTGTCATCAATAAATCAACAAACAAATGTCGGCTCAGCTATAAAGAAAAAGGTACCCTCATGCACTGTTGGTGGGAATGCAGACTGGTATAACTACTGGTGCAGTATGGAGTCACCTCAAAAAGTTAAAAATGGAACTACCTTATGACCTAGCAATTCCACTTCTGGAAATATATCCAAAGAAACCTGAAACACTTATTCATAAGAATATAAGCACCCCTATGTTCACTGCAGCATTACTTATAATTGCCAATATATGGAAACCACCCAAGTGTCTATCAGTAGATGTGTGGATAAAACAACTACTGGACATTCATACAATAAAATACTACTTGGCCGTAAAAAAAATAAAAATAAAAATAAGAAGGAAATCTTACTCTTTGTGACAGCAAGGATGGACCTGGAGAGTATTATGCTAAAGTGAAATAAGCCAGTCCGAGAAAGACAAATACCATATGATTTCATTTATATGTAGAGTCTAATGAACAAAAGAAACTAATAAGCAAAAGAGAAACGGACTCATAGAAACAGAAAACAGACTGTCAGATGTCAGAGGGGAGGAATTTAGGGCACTGGGTGAAAAAGGTGAAGGAATTAAGCAAAAAAAACCACAACCTTATAAACAGACAACAGTATAGTGATCACTAGTGAGAGAAGGGGGTGTCGGAGGTAGAAGAAAATAAAGGGGGATGAATGATGATGGACAGCACCATGACTTTGGACAGTGAGCACACAATGTAATATACAGATGATGTAACTATACACCCGAAACCTATATAATTTTATTAACCAATGTCACCCCAATAAATTCAATTAAAAAACAATAAATTAAAGGGGTGGGCTGGGATGGGGGAAAAGGCAGAAAGCTCTACTTGAACAATAATTAAAATTAAAAAATTAAAAAACAATAAATAAAGTTGGAGTACTTTAATTTTTTCAATTTAAAATGAATCATAATATTTTATTCATTATAATAAAGTACTCTTACTAAGATTAAAACTTCAATTTTTTGGAAATCTTGAGGACTAGAAGTAAGCAAATTTGCCATTTTAAATAATTCTCTAGAAATAGAGGATTGAATTGACTGCAGGGAAGGAAGAGTAATTTTTTTTCCACCTTTCTAGTTTCTGGCTGAGACTTACTGTATTAAAAGCCAGATTAACAAAAGACAAAAAAAGTTTAAAATATATATATATATATATATATGAGACCCTCACAAAGATATGAGAATTAAAAGGCAGCCAGGCAATAACATATCATCCTCAGCAATGGAGAGGGACAGGAGGCTAGAGCTTCAAAATGGGAAAAGGTAAATCACAGGAAGGTGACAAGAGGAAATGTGCAGTAAATGAAGTTTTCCCTGCCTTGTAGATAAGTCTTTTCACATGAAAAAGTAATTTCTGGTAATAGGTCTCTTCCCAGTACCAACCCCTTACTAAGGTAAATTTCCTTCTTAAATTTCTACTCTGTGTTCAGAGCTTCTCCTTTGCCTGAAGTTTCTCGATCAGCTCAGAATAATCTTTATGCCAAAGAGCCATTTTTGGGGGCATCTCATTTGCTACCATTCATTATCTTTAACACATTGATTGTTTGGGCAAAACCAATCTTTGGATTTGCAAAAAGGCAAAGATCCAGTTTGTCAAAGAAAATACTGACAAAATGCAAAGTTAATATCACTTGGCAATAAGGCAAGAAAACTGGATATACTTGATCTAATTTAATCTGATTTAATCACTGTCCAAAGACTGACTTCATGAAAGTGGTACTTTAGGAGATTCTCAGAAAAAAAAAACCCTGACAATCTTCATCATCTAATACTTCTTTCCTGAGAGAGATGAAATTAGCAGATCATGATTATTACCTATCAGTCTTCAGTGTATATCTCTTTTCCACATAATATTCTATACCTAAGGATGAGGAAAATAGCATGTCAAAATCAATAACTCAAAGAGAATTTCAATCACCACAAGAGGAGGCGGGGCAGCAAAAGACTGTGAGTCAATCCTCATTCCTTCTTACCGTGTCTGTACCCTCAGGTCAGATTCCTTCTTCTCCAGGCACTGAGACTAGCTGTGCAGGAGACCAAGTCTTGCTCTGCAGAAAGCTTATCTCTTCCAGGCCAAGGACTCTCAGTGGATTTTTTAAAAAATATTTTTGAGTTTTTGGGGAGTCCACCAGGTCTGCAAGAACAAAAACTGCTCTTCAGGAAAAGAAAATGATCCAGTCTTGACAACATATTCACCACATCTGGTGTACAATCAAAAATTCCTAAACTTGCAAAGAAATGAAAAAATAGCATCCACATAGAAATAATTCAGTTCACAGAAACTGAGATGGCTCAGTTATTGGATTTAAAATACAAAGACATGTCAACAAAACTTTAAGATGAAAATCTGGACTTAATGGTTGAAGAGACAAGAGAATCTCTTTAAAATGACCTAATGGAAATTTTAAGAGTAAAAAGTACAATACCTGAAAATAAAATATCCAATTAACTCCAGTACCAGAAAAGAGTGGCAACATATAAAAGATACAGCCTCAATAAAAATAATAGTAAATGGGAGAAAACTATGTTGAGGAATTAAAAATTTGACTTAGAAAACAAAAGAACTAATTAAACTGGGTAGCAAATTAGACAAAGCTAAAGAGTACAAAACTAACCAAGGTAAGGAATTGTCCCAATGAATCACAGAGTCGTGGAAGGTGTGGAAGAAGCCATAGGTAATATAGATGACACATGCAGAAATTGCAACACCCATATAGAAGTTACAGGAAATGGCCAAGAACATGGAAAGGATGTACTAGTCAAGAGGTAAGACAGGAAAACGTCCCTCAGAACTTCAAGGATAAAGAGAAAATTCTAAGTCTCCAAAGAAGATGGAGCAAAATTCACAATGGCAGCAGACCTTGCATCAGCAACACTGGACATAAGTAAACAATGGAGTAATGTCTTCAACATTCTGAGGGAAATGTTTAACCTAAATTTTTATGCTAAGTTAAACTAGCATTTAAATGTGATGATGAAATCAGGACTTTTGCAGGAATGCAAAGCCTCAACAAATTTTCCAGTCAAAATCTTTTATAAAAGAATTACTGAAAGTTGCACTTCCAGAAAAGTTTTGAAAGAAAGAAATGAGGAAGAATATGTGGGATTCAAGAAAAAGTAGATAAAACTCAGCCTCACAGCAAAGAGTTGGAGGAGCAACAAGTGGTGGCTTGAGCTTTCTATTTACTAAAGAAGTAAAGGTTGCTGTGCCAGAGGAGGTAAAAAATCTTAAGAGAGTCACAAGGAAGAGGCTTCAAAGTGAAAGGAAAAAAACCCTCAAAGAAGAAGAGGCTCAAAGTTAGAGGAGGAAGAAAAAGAGGCTTCAGAGTTGGAAGAAGGAGACCTCAGAACTGGAGGAGGAGGGAGAAGGAGACATCAGGCTTCTCCCTCAGGCCTGAAAGAGGGAGAAGATGCTTCAGTATTATGTAAGGAACAGTACTCAATCTTTTTGTGTTAATACAAACCATGGAGTTGAAATATCCAGTGATGACTTGGAGAATATTTTGATTAATGTGGTAGAAGATTCTGAGCAGGAGGAGGAAGGCTCACAGTGGGAATTGGGAGTGATCTTAATGTGGAAGGAAAGGACTCTGAACTAGAAAAGTCAAAGACTATCTCCCAGATTGAGGAAAAAGAGGCCTCACGTGGACTAAAATAAATTGCCTATAGTGATTTGGCTTCAGATTCTGAGATGAAACACAAGCTAACATCTAAAGAAACAGACTTAATACAAGAAACAGAAGAAAACTTTAGAAGAAATGTAATTAATTTCTGCAGAGAGATATAAGAAGAGATTGGAAATATTAAAAATTACATACTGGAAATAAAAAATTACCAGTCTTGAACACAAACACCTTAATGATTACTCTAAGTGGCAGAATAGACACAGTTGAACAACCTAGAATATCAAATTGAAGAATTCTCTAATGGTACAATGCAAATAGTCAAACAGATCATAATTAAAGAAAGAATAACATAGGGAAGATAAATGGTAATTGGGAAAAATAAAATAAAATAAAAGTTTTTTTAAAAAAAATAAGAGATAGTAGATCTAGAAGTGCAAACATCCATTTAATAGGAATTCCAAAAAAAAATAATAAAGAGAATGGAGCAGAGGGTATGATTAAGGACACAACTGAAGAAAGATTGCAGAACTAAGGAAAGACTCAAGTCTTGAGATTGTCAGTGCCTATCAAATACCCCAGTAAAACTGATGAAAAGAGACTCACTCCTAAACACATCTTGGTGAAATTCAGAAATTGCAATGATAAAAAAATCATAAGTGCTTCCAGGGAGAAAAAAGAAAGTAACCTGCAAGGGAATAAGAATTAGATTGGCAGAAAACTTATCACTGGACAGTCTGGTTGCTAGAAATCAATGGGGCAATATTATAAGAGTTCTGCAGGCAAAAAGCTTTAAATCTAGAATCTTATATCCAACCTATTTGGCATTTGATCTTAAGGGTAAAACAAAAAGTTTTTTGATATCAAAGAATTCAGAAAGTTTATTTTTTGCATACCCTGTTTAAAAGAATTATTGGAGGATATAATTTAGCAATCCAGGGTGAGTACAAACACACACAATATATGTATTTTCTTCCACCAAAAATCAACAAGGAAAACTGAGAAATAAAATGCCGCACTGTTATCCAAGAAGATGGGCAGCTAAAGTATACAAGGGGATGAAAAGAAAGAAAGATTTACAAGTATTACCTATATGTTGGT